AAGCATCGGTTTCCACAATAATTGGAACATCAGGTTTCCAATGGGAAAGAATCGGGGCAGAAGTGAAAGCATTTTTTAAAGTCTGGAAGGTGGAGCGGCATTTGTCGTCAAAGACCCATGGTTGAGCTTTACGGGTAAGACGAGTGAGCGGTACTGTAATATCCAAGTAGTTCCGAATAAAATGACGGTAAAAGTTGGCGAAACCTAAAAATGACTGAATATCCTTGACTTTCCGTGGTTTGGGCCAATCACGGACAACTTGGACCTTGGTTTCATCCATACGGAGACCATCAGGTCCGATAATGAAACCTAAGTATTCAATAGAATCCATGTCAAAGTAGCATTTTTTACCATTGGCGAAAAGACCATTTTTGCAGAGTCTTCAGAAGACTTCATGGACCTGTTCATCGTGGAGAGTGGGATCCTTGGAAAATACCAAAATGTCGTCCAAATAGACTATGACACATACGTCAAGCATGTCGGAAAATATATCATTAACAAAACATTGAAAAGCGGAAGGGGCATTGGTAAGGCCGAACGGCATAACCAACCATTCAAAGGACCCATAGCGAGTCCGAAAAGCAGTTTTCCATTCATCGCCCTTGGCAATTCGGACCAAATGATAGGTGTGTTTGAGGTCTATTGTGGTGTAGATCCAAGCTTTCCATGGGGCATCAAGTAAATTGGTAACGAGTGGAAGTGGATACTTATCTTTCCGTGTGATGGAATTTAATCCTCTGAAATCGACACAGAGTCAAAGGGAACCATCCTTCTTCCTGATGAAAAGGACGGGTGCTCCATATGGAGACTTTGAGGGACGGATAAAACCTATCGACAGATGTTCATCCAGGAACTCCTGAATAGACGAAAGTTCCGATTGGGATAATGGGTAAATAGGTCCTAACGGAGGGTTTGAACCGGGCTCAATATCGATTTTTAAGTCGTAGGGCCTATGTGGTGCAAGCCTGTCAGCTTTTTGCTTACTGAAAATGTCCACAAAATCATGGTATTTTTCGGGAACTCCTTCCAGGTCGGCTTTTAGCTTGGATAATTCTGGAGTCGCAAAATGTCCAGATGCTTCATCAATTTTTAAGCTGATCAAAAAACACTGTGAACCATCCAGTTTACTCGCCCTAACAAATGCCGAAGCGTTGATGAGAGAGATTTTTGGAGGCATGGAGGTTTCAGTAGAAGCTGGAGGTGCCGTAGATGCTGAAAAGGCGTTGGCCGGAAGAGACGCTGCAGGATGAACCGAAGTGTCAGGAATTCGGAAATTAATACTGCCCAATACCCAGTCAATCAACGGATTATATCGGGTGAGCCAGTTGTAACCAAGAACTACCGAACAGCTAGAGTCCAACTGTGTTACGAAAAAAGTAACCGTCTGGGATGTTCCACAAGGGAACCGAATAGACATGTCGCAGGCTTGGGTAATTGTGGTATTGCTAGTGCCGTCAAACAGATGCAAAGAAATTGCGGGAACAGAATGGAGTTTCAGATTATGTTTCGAGGCAAAGGTGGTATCTACAAAACAGTGTGTGGAGCCGGAATCTATCAGAGCTCGGAACACTAAATTTCCAAGAAAGTCAGAAACGAGTTTTACAAATAATGAATCGGGATTAGAGAGAGCGGACGCGTTGAGATGGATAACCTCAGAAACACGGAGAGAGTCAACGCAACCCTCTGTCCGTGCAGATTCCGGAGGGTTGCTTACTCTTTTTTCAGCTCCGTGGCGGGTTTTTCCTTAGATGTTGTAGCCGTAGTGGAAGTTGCCGCGCGAGCCTTGGAAGAGTTAGATTTAATGGTACAGTCGGAAACCTTGTGTCCGCCTTTCCCGCAGAAAAGGCAGAGGTCGTTGTCCATACGTCATTGTTTCACCTTTGGGGTGAGTTTACCGTTGGTACCCAACAAATGAGAAATGTCAGGTTTGTCGGAAGTTGACTGTTTTTCCTTGTTGGATTTCTTGTCTTTCTTCTGGTCGGACTTTGATTTGCCAGTATTAGTGCCAGAGTTGCCAGTGTTATTGCCTGAGTTGTTGCTGGAAGACTTGCTAGTCGACGCCTTGTTATTCTGAGAATGCTCTGTTGGGTTCTCACGAGAGACCTCAGCTTTTCATTCCCAATAATGGGCATCGGATGTTTGAGCTTTAATCCGCATGAGTTGGAGAGTTTTCGGCTTTCCATCTTTGCAGATCTCGTCTTTAAGGCGTGATGGAAGTCCCATATAGAAATGGTGTCTGAGGGTGGAATCGTCCCATCCACATCGTGCGGCGAGGGTATTGAACTTGACGAGATAATCGGAAACTCGTTGATTGTCCTTCATCTTGAGCATCATTAATTCATTTTCCGCTTCACCGGTTTGATCGTAAGGTCCGAAATTAGTTTCCAGTTCTTCCACAAACACATCCCAGTCGTCGAGCCATACGGGTGTCTTGTCCGATATTCCAGATAGTCCGGGTTCGAACCAATCTTGAGCGGTATCCTTGAGATAAGAGAGTGTGAAATTGACTTTTCGACTGTCGGTTTTAAATGCAGTGGGTCGATCACGGAAACTGAAACAGTATTGGAGAAGGAAATTCTTCAATTTTTTCGGATCCTTGCCGGTAAATGGTTCAGGTTCTTTGACTCTGGTGCGGGATGATTCTTTACTATCCTCAGCGGATTTCAAGTAGTCAGTGAATTTCACAATGGAGTTGATAAACAACATTTCAGTCGGTTCGTCGGAAGATTTCTTTCTCGATGTCTCCGGCTGATCTTCTGCTTCATTGTCAGAAGTGTGGGGAACATTGGTGTCCTTCATTACCTCGGTAATCTCCTCGGTAACTTCTCCGACTGAAGCTGATGTTGTCGGCTGAATTGGGGTTTTGGATTGAGTGGTGTAAAGTTGCAATGGGGATTGAAGTTGGGATGGTCCTTCGGCAGCTTTGCATTTGGGACCCATGATGAGTGAGTCGCAGAGTTGAGATCTGATATACTGTTAAGTGCCGTGTTGGGAACTTATTCTGGAACTATCAGAAAGTCACTGGGAAGTCGGGAACTATCAGATAGGGTCAGGACGTCGGCTTCAGCTTATGTGCTGCGCCTCTACACAAATGCTCAAAGTCCTTAATTTCAGAGGTGAGACTTACAATGGAAGATACAAATATTCAGAGTTCCGAAGAGTTCCGAATATCGAGCGTACAGAAAGACGGGAGAAGGAATAAGAAACTAAGTCGATATCAGATCTAAGGTAAAGTACAAATTTGCAGAAACTAATATAAGTCTACTCATTATTGTACTACAAACTAAGACCATAATAAGATGGAAATGGAAATGTTCTTAAAACGGAAATACAATAAGACATATTAGGGAGACAATATTCCAAAATGGGAATACAACAAACAAACAAGTGAATACTTGTCAACAGACAAATTACCAAATGCAGAACAAGGGAAGAACGCGGATGATACAGTAACTATGATGTTCCGTAGTCGGAGATCGGAAGTCGGATATTGAAACATCTGGGAACGGGCCGTAACAGTAAGTACATTTGACACCATTATGAGGGGGGGCTGTTGTACAAGAACACCATTTTCTAGTGAAACACTTAAAAAACAGTTATGTACAGGCAGTGGAGATGCACTCCTCATCCACTGTGGGTGTTAAGTTCCAGATCTCTGGGTGGATTTTCCAGACACTTCCTGGAATAAGTCCAGGGAGTTCCCGAGAATTAGTCTGGGGAGTACTGGAATATTACCAGAGTACAGGATGGACTTGGCTTCAGCTTATGTGCTGCACCCTTGTGCACTCACTTGGGTGTCCATATTTTTGAGGGCAGATATATGTATGCCAGAGTGTTTGCAGATACTTGGAGTTCTGGAGAGTTCTGGATATCAAGCATACAGAAAGACAGAAGGGATAAGAAACTAAGTCAAGATATAAACTAATTTGAGATTAAAACTCAGGAGTAAGTACATGACTATGGAAGACTATATAGATGCTATTGCTATTGTCCTACAAACTAGGATCACAATGAGATGGATTAGGATGAAGATTCTGAAATGGGAGCACAATAAGTAAATGAATGAATACTTGTCAATAGACAAGTTACCAAATATGGAACAAGGATGAGGTTCAGAAGTCCAGAAACTAGAAATGTTCCATGGATGGAAGTTGTATCGGATGTTACAGAAGATTGAAGTTTCTGGGAATGGAGCTTGACAGTAATCAATAATCTTCTAAATGTAATGATTGACTTCTTGGCCAGGCAATTTAAAACAGGCAATGGAGGAAGTTAGATTGAATTGCACTCAAAGACAAAACATTGAAAAGAAACTTGAAGAGACCAAAGCTACAATATCACAACTCAATGAGCAGTTGGCAGACACACAGGCATGAGAAGCTGGTTGTCAGGAAGAACTCCAAAAATACCTAAATAGACTACATGATTTGGAAGGTATGTACAAGTTTTTTGTTGTCAAACCAGTACAACAATATAATGAGTTCCCCCCCCCAAAAAAAAAAAAAAAAGCCAGCCACATGGGCTATAAAAGGCACCATTCAAGGTTGACAAAGGATTTGAGCCAGGCTAATTATAGCATCACACAAGTTCAAGAAGACCTGAGTGCCATGTGTTGAAGTGATAGGATTACTAGTAATATGTTAGAAGGCAGGTTGGCAGCCAATGGAATATTATTCAGAAAAGTGCAGAACACTCCCAGTGAGTTAAAGTCTCCAGTTATTCATATGATCTTTGACCCCAATGTCAGGAGCAATGACCCTACCTATGACACTGTCATCACATCTGCTAGAACTCTAGACATGGAACTAAAGATAAAAGAGAAGGTTAGAACATGAATAATAGTTGCTGTTAACCCCTCTGATATTTACTTAAGGAGAATTTGGATCAAAAACATGGATTCCTGAAAGTCAAATTGATTCTGTGTTTATGTATTTTGTGCAGTGCAATACTCATTGGGTGAATATATTGTTAGATTGAGTAATGCTAGCAGTGTTTCCCAGGGTCAGGTGGTGTAATGGTTAACACCCCTGCTATGTGTGCAGAAGCCCTGGGGTCAATCCCCAGTCTGGCCATTCATTTTCTACACTTTTAACAGGTTATGAGCCCCACTATGTGCTATAGGACATGGTTCCTGTGTGTAGAGTGAACAGCCATATTTGTGTATGGTTGTTATGACCGGAACTCCCACCAGACTCTGGGCACTAACTTATACACACCTGCACCCTACACGTGCCTATTATCAGTTTACCAGAAACCCACTGGACTCTGTACATCAGACCTGTCCATGCTCGACCTTTGTTACTTCATGTATCCGTCACCGGAATTCCTGCCAGACTCCGTCCCTGTCTATCTCCGACCCTGTCCCACACATCAGTCACCGGACCCTGCTCAGAAAGCCCATCAGCCCTCTAACTGAGCCCCATTCCCATTATAGTCAAATGACCTGTCACAATTTGGACTCAACTCCTGCCCCATTCCCATTATGGTTTCATGACCTGTCACAATTTGGACTCCACTCTGTTCCGTCCCATTCCTAACACCAAGTTTGGTGTTTATTTATCTTGTTTTATGTTTGCTAGTTTAGTTTTCATTATTACTGGATTTGGTATGTTATTCATTCCACAGTCTATATAGTCTGGCAGATGCTGTACATACAATCCAGTCAGAAAATCAGCTTAGATTCTCCCCAGTAATCTTAGTATATTTTCCACTCTAAATTCCTCTTTGAAACACACTGCTCTTACTGAACCCTGCCGGGACTCCCCAGGATTCCCATCCACCTGTTTGAAATTGGACAAGATGATCTCACGAGGGTGCAGCCTATAAGCTGAAGCCAAGTCCTACCAGCTTTCCCGTGGGTTTCTCTGGAAACCCTTCATGTACACACCTTAACAATGGTACAGTGGACAAGTCTGGACAAAAGAGCCAGAGAGTGAGGACCTATATCTGCATATACATAATATTGTTGAGTGCTAGCATTAAGGGAGTGTGTTAGATTGAGTAATGCTAGCAGTGTTTCCCAGGGTCAAGTGGTGTAATGGTTAACACCCCTGCTATATGTATATGCGGAAGCCCTGGGTTCAATCCCCAGTCTTGCCATTCATTTTCTACACTTTTAACATATATATATGGGCTCCCATTAGACAGATTGAATGAAGAAGGGAGGTGGATGCAAAGCACTAGAAGTGCAGGAGCTCAGACATGAATGAGTGAACAATAGATTCACCAGCACACACTATGGACCCACAATGGTACACAACTTGTAGCTACTGTGCCAAGTTTAAATCTAACACTCCCATTGTTGATTGTTTTCTTTCAAATCTTCATGGTACTAATGTCACATCTGGTTGATGTTTGTTTTCTCACATCCAATAATAAGAATTGAGTTGAAGTGCAGCTGTTCATAATGCAATAAAAATTTCTGGTTGGACTTGTAGCTTCACTATTTCATCTTTGATATCATCAGGAAGTCAGTGGTAATGATTTCCAGTTCATTAATTATTGAGCTTAAATTAGAAAAGATTCTGAAAATAAAAGCATTAATTGATTCAGGATTTAGTCATATTTTTATGGACAAAACATTTTCTCAACAGAAGAATCTTCCTTTCAATCAACTTAATAATTCATTATCTCTAAAATTAATCAATGGATCCATTCTGACATCTGGGAAAATTATGCATGCAACTACAATTACATCCCATCTGGGCAATCACAAGAATTACAATTCTTCTTAACCAATCTGGACTTGTCTTGTCAAGTGGTATTAGGACTTAACTGGCTGAAGCAATACAATCCTTTGATTTACTGGTGATCTGGCCATGTATCATTTGAACCTACTTCAACACTTTTGACAGAACTGAATCCAATTCAATTATCACTCAAGACATTATCAGAAAAGGAGCATGCTTTGACCTTGGCAATTTATCCCTTTATTTCTGAGAAAATCTGTGAAAAATTGAAACTTGAGACTACTAATCCAAGTATAAATATAGTAAATCAGAAAACATTTTTATAGGCTGCATAAGCAAAAGACTCACAAACCTTTATGGTTTATATTTGTGATGAATCCTTCAAGACTTGTAAAGCCTCTGGTGCTACTACTACAACTTCAACTTCTCAATCATTTGACATACCAAATGTTCTGACGGAATACTTTGACAAAAATGAAGCTGAAGTGTTACCTCAATATCAAAGCTACATATGATCATGCCATCCCATTAGAAGAAAGAACAACAGTACCAATCTATTCATTATCTGAGACAGAACTACAAATATTGCAAGAATATCTTCAAGAAAATATTTTGAAGAAATTTATTTGATGTTCTCAATCTCCAGCACACCAATTTTATTTATCAAGAAAAAAGATGGAAGTTTATGACTGTATCAACTATCAAGGACTTAATAAAATTACTCAACAAAATTGGTATCCTCTTCCTTGAATTCCTGATCTTTTACATATATCAATTACAGACTGCATAATATTTTATGAAAACCAACCTTTGAGGCACTTACAATTTAGTAAGGATTGCCCCAGGCAATGAATGGAAACAGCTTTTTGAACATAATATGGATTCTACAAATATTTGGTCATGCCATTTGGATTGTGCAACACTCCAGTGACTATTCAACAATTGATGAATGAACTCTTTGCAGATTTACTTAATATTTGGGTAATTATATATCTTGATGATATACTAATATTTTCTGACAATCTTGAAGAACATTGACATCATGTTTGAAAAGTTCTTTGACAACTTTGACAAAACAAGTTATTTGCAAAGCCCAAAAAATGTGACTTTCACAAGACTAGGATTGAATTTTTAGGATATGTTATTTCCCCTCAAGGTGTATATACATACATACAGTACTGTACATATGGATAAAAAAAAAATCAAAGTCATTCAAGATTGGTCTGAACCATCAAAGGTTCATGACATTCAATCATTTCTAGGATTTCCAAATTTCTATTGAAGATTTATTCCACATTACTCTGAAATTGTTCTACCTTAACTTGAAAAAAAGTTCAATGGAATTTTGATGAAAAATGCCAACAAGTATTTAAATTTTTGAAAAAAGAATTTACTACAGCTCCAACCTTGATACAGTATATTGGCATCCAGAATACAAACCTATTCTTGAGACTGATGCCTCTGATCCTCTATCTGTTAAGAGTGGGGCAGGCTTAATGGAGGGTTTCTGGAGAAACCCACAGATGTTCTGGTTGGACTTGGCTTCAGCTTATAGGCTGTACCCTCACAAGGTTGTTGTGTCCAATTTCAGATGGGCAGATGGGAAGCCCAGGGAGTCTGGAGTAGGTGATGGGTTGAGAGGTCAGAGAGTTGATGTGGGAAACCTGTGGGGGTTGATCAGTCAAAGGTGATAGGTCAGAGGTTGAGCAGTTGATTAGCCAGAGATTAAGTGGTCAATTAGTCAGAGCCTGTGGGCTCCAACAAGGATGATAGTGGTGTGTCTTGGAGAGAGAGAGGTGGAGGTATAGAGCAGAATAAAGACTGAGATTACTGGAGAGGATCTAAGCTGATTTTCTGACCAGATTGTATGTACAACATTACCTAGGCTATGTAGACTGTGGAATGTATGTAATACCAATCCGGTAATAATGAAAGCCTAAACGAGTAATCATAAATCAGGAAGAGTAAACACCAGACCTGGTGTTAGGGACAGAACAGAATGGAGGCAGAGTGCAAAACATGACAGGAAATTTGACCATAATGGGAACAGGGCTCAGTTAGAGAGCTGATGGGTAGCCTGGTGGAGTCCAGTGACTGGTGTGTGGGGCATAGTCAGACATAGACAGGTTGACATGTGTGGGTCCTGGTGGGGTCTGATGACAGAGAGTCAGGCATGGACAAGTGTGATGTCCAGGTCCCAGTGGGTTGTCTGGTTAATGATAACTTGGTATAGAGAGCTGGGTGCATCTAGGGTGGGGTCTGGAGCCCTGCCCGGCAGGTTTTCTGGTTGTAACAGTACCCTCCCTCTATGCCAAAGTTCCAAAGAGGCTCTAGAACTTGATAAAATTTGATGGTTACATGTATATGTCAAAGAGTCATGTGATCTGGAAGGTAAGGTTCAAACATGACAAAAATTGGACATAATGAAATTTCTTTTATTTTATACCCCCATCATCAAAACCCCATGGGTCCCAAACCCACACCTTGTAAAGCAAATTTAACCACCAGGCCCTCCACAGGCCCCTCAGATTGGGCTCCTCTCACTGCTGCCCAAATTTTGGTGCAGCATGAAGAGCAACATCGAAAAGGACAGGTGCTCTATATGGAGACTTTGAGGGATGGATAAACCTATTGACAGATGTTCATCCAAGAACTCCTGAATAGACAAAAGTTCCAATTGGGACAATAGGTAAATAGGTCCTAATGGAGGGTTTTGTAATGTATTAGACTTATTTTAATATTATTTTCTGGAAAAAGGAGTCCAATGCTCTATCAAAGTGTGCAAATACTCAATTCACAACAAGGTAAAATAATTTAAGTATTTGATATTAATCAGTGGCAGCCTTAATAGACTTAGAACCCCTGAAGTCAAGAGTTTACTTGAATATATGCACCCTACTTCGCAAAGAAGGTTTTTGAGAGCTGCTTATGTAAGCTTGTTCTTTTTCTGTGAAAACAACCACTAAAATATGAATAGAAATTTACTGATTCCAAAACTAGATTCAACTTCGATTCTAGCTAGTTTATATATATTTTATACTATTTATCAAACAGTAAAAATATTAATAAACAGGTCAAAAGATCAACTATAGAATTAAACAATATTTGGCAATATATGCTTTATTTAAATTAATATATTGGATCTACTGTGATACTAACTTATCAGGATCTTAATGTAGTCTTTATTATTCTGCAAGAATATTCTCAGTATTTAATTATAAGCCAAACCAGGAGAAATTAGAATTATATTCTAATTTCAAACAATAAAACAACGATTTATTTATTACTTGGTTGATAGCCAACAACTCTAACCGAGGTGGCAACAGATTCCAACAACTTAAATAGAAGTCAGAAAAAGTAATAAAGCCAGCTACTCAATTAAG